GAAGCGGAGTACATAGCTGCTTCGGAAGCAGCAAATGAAGGAGTCTGGATGAAGGAGTTCATATCCGATCTAGCTAGGTGTCATACCTAGTGCATCGGGTCCAATGAAAATCTTTTGTGACAATACTGGAGCTATTGCCTTGGCGAAGGAATCCAGATTTCACAAGAGAACCAAGCACATCAAGAGACGCTTCAATTCCATCCGAGAATTAGTCCAGGTGGGAGACTTAGAAATTTGCAAGATACATACGGATCTGAATATTGCAGACCCGTTGACTAAGCCTCTTCCACGAGCAAAACATGATCAGCACCAAGGCTCCATGGGTGTTAGAATCATTACTGTGTAATCTAGATTATTGAATCTAGTGCAAGTGGGAGACTGAAGGAAATATGTCCTAGAGGCAATAATAAAGTTATTATTTATTTCCTTATATCATGATAAATGTTTATTATTCATGCAAGAATTGTATTAACCGGAAACATAATACATGTGTGAATACATAGACAAACAGAGTGTCACTAGTATGCCTCTACTTGAGTAGCTCGTTGATCAAAGATGGTTAAGTTTCCTAACCATTGACATGGGTTGTTATTTGATTAACGAGATCACATCATTAGGAGAATGATGTGATTGACTTGACCCATTCCGTTAGCTTAGCACTTGATCGTTTAGTTTGTTGCTATTGCTTTCTTCATGACTTATACATGTTCCTATGACTATGAGATTATGCAACTCCCGTTTACCGGAGGAACACTTTGTGTGCTACCAAACGTCACAACGTAACTGGGTGATTATAAAGGTGCTCTACAGGTGTCTCCAAAGGTACTTGTTGGGTTGGCGTATTTCGAGATTAGGATTTGTCACTCCGATTGTCGGAGAGGTATCTCTGGGCCCTCTCGGTAATGCACATCAGATAAGCCTTGCAAGCATTGCAACTAATGAGCTAGTTGCGGGATGATGTATTACGGAACGAGTAAAGAGACTTGCCGGTAACAAGATTGAACTAGGTATTGAGATACCGACGATCGAATCTCGGGCAAGTAACATACCGATGACAAAGGGAACAACGTATGTTGTTATGCGGTCTAACCAATAAAAGATCTTCGTAGAATATGTGGGAGCCAATATGAACATCCAGGTTCCGCTATTGGTTATTGACCGGAGACATGTCTCGGTCATGTCTACATAGTTCTCGAACCTGTAGGGTCCGCACACTTAACGTTTCGATGACAGTTATATTATGAGTTTATATATTTTGATGTACCGAAGGTTGTTCGGAGTCCCGGATGTGATCACGGACATGATGAGGAGTCTCGAAATGGTCAAGACGTGAAGATTGATATATTGGAAGCCTATGTTTGGATATCGGAAGTGTTCCGGGTGAAATCGGGATTTTACCGGAGTACCGGGAGGTTACCGGAACCCCCCGGGAGCTTAATGGGCCTACATGGGCCTTAGTGGAAATAGAGGGAAGCAAGGGGAGTGTGGGGCGCGCCCCCCCAAGGCCCAAATCGAATTAGTTTAGGGCAAGGGGGGGGGCGGCCTCCTCTTTCCTTCTTCCCCTTTCTCTTTCCTTCTCCCGAATCCTATTCCAACTAGGAAAGGGGGGAAGTCCTACTCTCGGTGGGACTAGGACTCCTCCTGGCGCGCCCTCTCCCTGGCCAGCCGCACCCCCCCCCTTGCTCCTTTATATACGGGGGCAGGGGGCACCCCAAAGACAACAATTGATCGTTTGATCTTTTAGCCGTGTGCGGTGCCTCCTTCCACCATAGTCCACCTCGATAATATTGTAGCGATGCTTAGGCGAAGCCCTGTGTCGGTAGAACATCATCATTGTCACCACGCCGTCGTGCTGACGAAACTCTCCCTCAACACTCGGCTGGATCGGAGTTCGAGGGACGTCATCGGGCTGAACGTGTGCTGAACTCGGAGGTGCCGTACGTTCGGTACTTGATCGGTCGGATCGTGAGGACGTGCGACTACATCAACCGCGTTGTGCTAACGCTTCCGCTTTCGGTCTACGAGGGTACGTGGACAACACTCTCCCCTCTCGTTGCTATGCATCACCATGATCTTGCGTGTGCATAGGATTTTTTTTTTTTGAAATTACTATGTTCCCCAACACTATTGAGCTATCTTGCCCCTTGCCATACTTTTCGATGAAACTGAAGTTGCCATTATGATTACCCTGTTACGGGTATCGTTAGAACAACACCAAAGTGCATCATCCACTAGTAGAAAATAGGGATTTGGTCACAACTCAATATACGCATTAATCCCGGTTCAAATGAGACCTTTAGTCCCGGTTTGAGACACGAACCGGGACTAAAATGTGCGATGCCCTTTAGTCTTGGTTCGTCTCTCAAACCGAGACTAAAGATTAGACCTTTAGTCCCGGTTTGAGACAAAATCCGGGACTAAAGGGTGCGATGCCCTTTAGTCCCGGTTCGTGTCTTAAACCGGGACTAAAGGGGTTCGTGTATCAAACTCTACCCCCCCCTCCTGTGTATCGCCATTTTAGTTTTGAAAAAAACAAAAGAAAATGATAAAAACTTCAAAAAATAAAATCCTTAGAGATGTAGGCCGTTTTGCAAATTTTTAGAATCCTCAAATTTTAAAAAGAAAAAAAGTTATGCTCAAATTTCAAATTTTTTGAATTAAAATCTGGTCAAACTAGTTATTCAAGAAGTATTAGTGTTACTAAATAATTATTCAAGAATATTAGTGTTACTAAATAATTATTTCAGTTTTTTTGAATTTTGGTCAAATCTGGTCAAACTGTGGTCAAACTACTTATTCAATAAATATTAGTGTTACTAAATAATTATTGTTTTTTAGAATAATATAATAGTTTCACACTCAAACAGTGAAACGTGTCATGCTCAAGCTAAACTTCAGGAAAACAACAAGTGCAAACTTGGAAATGAGGGGGAATAGAACCTGGAAGTTAAGTGTGCTCAGGCTGGAGTAGTGAGAGGATGGGTGACCGGCCGGGAAGTTAGATGATTTGAAATTATGAGGGGTGATTAGAGATTAGAGGTTAAATTGAACAATGATGAGGGATGATTAGAGATTAAATTGTAAAATAATTTAGAAATTTGAAAATCGGGAAAAAAATTAAAAAATTAAAAAAAAAAGTTCGTCAAATTTCCGCATCCGGGACTTGGTGTTACCTACCGGGACTAAAGGTGAAGCTCCAGACAGCGGCTACGTGGAGGGCCTTTAGTCCCGGTTCGTAACAGAACCAGGACTAAGGGGGGGGGGGGCTTTAGTACCGACCCTTTAGTCCCCATTCCAGAACTGGGACTAAAGGCCCTCTGGAACCGGGTCAAATGGGCCTTTTTTCTACTAGTGATCTAATATAAAGTGACTCGATAATCTCATGGTCTAAGGAACTGAGCATACGTTAACTCCCTGTGTTATAGAATATAGACTTGCGACGATGCCATCTCTAAGTGTAACAAAAAACTTGGGTCAATTCAATATGATTGTTCTGAAAATTCAGACAGTCATCCTTCATTTTTTTTGTTAGCTTCTACTCCCTCCCTCCCACAATATAAGACGATAGCTTCCAAAAACGTTTTATATTGTGGGACGGAGGGAGTAAATCACAAGTACAAAAATCATGAAATTTCACCGGAGCAAGGATTTTTCATCCTATACAAGTCTATAGATATTTTTGTCTCTAGGAAACCTCATTAAGATGGCCAAGAGCAAACTCAACTCTGACTAATAAGTCTGTCAGTCTTTTAGGACAGTCAATTAGGAAAATACACATCTTCTAAACCAACAGTCAATTTTTTTGAAACTTTTACAGCAGCTCAGCCTTGAAGATATATAGCTACGACTTTGTAGCTAATGATTTATATAGGAAAAATCATATAGCTCATCAAAACCTGTACAACAGGCAGGCTGCTAAATCTGTCTGCGCACACAACACTATGTTTCATAGCAGCACTCTGCATTGCTACCAAACAATGTTACACGATAATGGCACTCTGAATTTCTAGCAACCATATACAATAACTTTGTACATTGTTTTAGAGGACCTATGTAAGCTGACCGAAGTCCAGAGATAATAAAATTTGGCAGCAACAATTAAATTATACTAGCATTTTTGTGACACATCACGAATCCTTTGAAACTATCTGCATCTACAATTTGATCACTACATATACATTGGAACAGAACTGTATCATGAGAGAATAAAGCTATCAAGAAGCAATGGACTGAGAAGATCAAACAAAGTGTTGGTGGCTCACTTGAAATCTGAATGTTCTTTGCCCCCCACCTGATATCCACCCATCATTTCCCATTGCTCTATTGCCCAAATCTATGATGAACATTTTGCTCTTTTATGATGAAACAATCATTAATAAGTTCCTCCTCATTACACACTTTTATTGCATCAGATTCTTTTATAAACAAGTAAAAAAAAGAATCAAAGAAAAACAAGACTACTACTACATTCTACACAAAGGCATCAATATAATGGTACAATGCAATTTCCCTTTCCTTCCCAATGTTTTGCACGACAATGCTCCGCGATGTTGATCATCATCACGGCGAGACACCGATGAGAATCAGGCGGAGCTCCACTGGCTGGCCTTCTCGAAACCGTTGCGGCCGTAGTAGTAGTCCTCCATGGCCTGCTGGATCTGGGCACGCGAGTTCATGACGAAGGGCCCCTGCTGCACCACCGGCTCGTTCAGCGGCTGCCCTGCCGCCAGCGCGAACCGCAGCGGTGCGCCGGACCGATTCCAGACGCTGAGCCCATCCCCCGCGCCAAGCACGAGGCAGTGGTGCGCGCTCGCCGGCGCTGCACCCTCCTTACCGAACACGCCCTCCCCCTCGATGATGTACACGACGGCGTTCCAGCCCTCAGGGATTGGCTGGTGGAGCTGCGACCCTGGTTGCATTGTGAAGTCCATGTACATGGTTGGCGTCCGCGTGTAGACCGGTGACCGTACCCCGAAGGCCTCCCCAGCGATGATCCGCACCGCCACGCCGTCCTTCTCGGCCTGGCTGATGTCCTTGCTCTCGAGCTCCTGGTACCGTGGCTCGATCCTGGCATTGTTTGATCAAGCGTTTTGCAGAAGCAGAGTTAGTGTCGAGTGATTGATCACTGCCGTGTAAAGAAGATTGATAGTTGGCTTCGTAGGGTACATACATCTTGTCCTTGGAGGCAAGGTTGATCCAGAGCTGCAGGCCCTTCTGCACTCCGTCCGCCGCAGGCATCTCTGAGTGCACGATGCCGCGCCCCGCCGTCATCCACTGATGGGGAACAGAGCATTCAGATGCGATGTTAGTTCTCAAATCAAAATAGAATGAATCAAGTGCATGAATGGTGGCATCTCTGACGAATTGGATGAGTAGATCGAACCTGCACATCTCCGGTCCTGATGGTGCCCGTGTGTCCGGAGAAGTCCTGGTGGGTGAACACCCCCTGCATCGGCAGGAACACAGAAGACAGAACAGCATTTCAGCAAACACCTTGCAGGCAATATCAACAGAACAGAAGACGAGATGGAAAAAGCAGAGCATGCGTACATCGAGCATGTAGGTGACGGTCTCGAAGCCCCGGTGAGGATGGTCAGGGAATCCGCCGGGCTTGGAGACGGAGAACTCGTCGAGCAGGAGGAACGGGTCCAGGTTCCGGACCTCGTGCCTGCAGCAGCATCAAGAAGAGACATACACAGGTCAACACTAGCTCCCCATGATGAAAATTTCAGAACTCATGGCGATTGAGAGAGAGGGGGTTGATGGTGTCGTGCCCGCCGATGCTCCGGCGGACGGTGGCGCCCTGGCCCTCGGACTGGGACAAGGACAGCACCTTCTTCACCACCTTCCTCGGGCTCTGAAACGGCACGGACGCGGCCGCCGCCGCCGACGAGGAAGACGAAGACATGATGGCTGGTGGGAACAAGAAGACGGCGGTCACAACAAGAATCAGCAGGAGCAACACGGCGAGGCACAGAAAAGGTCTGGTCTTGGCGCTACTTCTAGCAGAGCTGGAGCTCGTCTTTCTGGAGGCGAGGAGGACGCGGCGGCCGCTGTTGAAATTGGCGAGGCGAGCGAGTGCCGTATAAATAGGGGAAGCCGCAGAGTGCCTTGGCATCTCCGTTCGCCGCCGCTGGGTGAGGTGAGGTGAGGTGATGGATGATGGTGGATGCGAGGTAGCGGGGTAAATAAATGGCGATCGAGATCAGATGCCGTCCTCCCGGTGGGCGTTGACCACCGAGATTGAGGGGCGCGCGTGGCCGCTTTCATCTCCTTCTTTTTCTATGCGGCTGCTGCGGCTTCGGCCTCCGGGACAGGTGGGAACGGGTGGGTGGATGGATCATGGATGGCCGACGACGTGCTGGCGTCCGGCCGGCGTCACCCCCGGTGCCGACGTCGGCGTCGCGTCACAAGCCTCGTCATGTTCCAATATCCAACTACTCCCGTTTTCACATTTTTTTGGGGGAAAAAATATTTTGGGCTTATTTTCCAAGTCGCGGCCAGAGTTCCCGGGAAGTTTTGAATTTCTGATAGCCGCATACAGTACTATACTACTCCCTCCCTAAATATAACTCTTTTTTGAGATTTTTGATATGAACGGATGTATTTAGACATACTTTATAGTATAGATTCACTCATTTTGCTTCATATATAGTACATATTAAAATATCTAAAAATACTTACATTTAAAAACAAAGGGAGTATGTTCAAAACGACCGCTCCATACCATTAAACAAGTGGATGGGGTAATAGTCTCGAAATAAAAAATGAACTCGTCAAATCAGAGTGGACCATCAGATGGAAATCTGAGGGCCGTGAGCCTTCCTGCTCCTCCGAACGGTCTTCCTCCTCTAGCCTCAACGAACCCCCTCTAACGCTGACTGAGCCGCCCGCCAACTCCACTGATGTCTGATGGTGTTGCTGTGTGCGCCTCGCGCCATGTCCTACCGGTGTCGCTGAGACAATGACAACAAAACATGTGTGCACATATTGGTCATATTGCAAACCCCCTGAGCACAACATGGCTCAGGTTACAGAGCATTGGATTACATAATTCACTATGTTTAACCTTTTTCCTCTCACAACAGCGGGGTATGTTAAGGCAAGCTGCAAGCAATCAGAAAAATGTTTGGGACAGCTAACGAGTCGTTGCAACATGGTCATGTAGCAAACTCTCGAACGGAACATCACTTGAGCACTGGATTGTTGAAGCAGTCAGAACAAACGACCGTCATGAGTGGGATCCAACGGCTCTGGAACTGGCCGATTCAATCCGCGCACCAACAATAACACTGGTCTTTCAAGAAAACAACACACATTTATGTTGAAAATATTAGCACTTTTCCGATTAGACTTATCCACGAGTAAACAGTAAGCATGGCATAAAAGGTATGCATCTCATAGCGATACCTAAGCATACTAGCACGTGCAGAACATAGAATCGAACCTTCTATGAGCAGCACATATACGGCTAGCATAAGTATGAGTAAACGAGGGATGAACAGATCATACCCTTCGGTGGGCCAGGCCAACGCGGCGGCTGCAGCAGCAGCCTCGGCGTCGTCCGTGGCCTTCTTCTTAGCTGCGGCATCATCGGCCATGGTGTCGATGCAAGGGAAGTAGTGGAAGTAGGGGCGAACGGAGTTGGGGACGAATCGGGAGCAGTCGCGTCGAGACGCTCTCCAAAAACCTTATTGCCGTTCTCCCGGGCAGAATCTCGAACGACAGGATTTCGGAGGCACCTGCTCTCCCGACCAGCCGTGCACGCGGTCGTCGGGATGGGATCGCCGGAGGCAGCACAGAGTGAGGAACAATAGATGACGGCTAGGTCATGTGAGAGGGAGTGAGTGAACCGAACTAGGTTACTTCACTGGCCAGAGCCTTCTTATATAGTCCGTAAGGAAGAAAGTCGTGGGCCTTGTCGAGGCCCACGACCAAGTCAGCCCACTCCCGGCAAGGGAGTCATTGTTCCCAGCAAGGGTCGTGCTCCCGGCAAGGGAGTTGACAAATACGCGGGTCCCGGCAAGGGTCGCACCCCTGGCACGGGAGTCGACGAATCCCGCAACGCAAGTCAGCCCATAGTCCAATGTCTTGAACATTGGCCCACATGTTAGCGACTCGTTAATTAATCCCTGATTAATTAATTCATTCCTGAGCGGCAGAAATAAGCTTCGGCTCATTCCCGCAACCCGCGGCGCGCGCGCGTCATGACGAGGCGAGGCGTGGCGAGGCGGGCGGCGGAGGAGGAGGGGTGCGCATGTACCACTCCTCTTCCCAAGCTCCCAATGGCAAGTGGTATAGCAGCCCTTATAAAGGGGTCTCAACTCTCCTCAACTAGCAAGGTGGGACTAAACTTCCCACCACATGCCATCTTATACATGGGCCTCAAGAGTAACCAGGGATTAGTGTCTTATATGGGCCTAAGCCCATCCATAATCCAACAATCCCCCACCAGATCTCGAGGCACATAAGTTTGTCAACTGTTCCAAACAATGTTTGATATACCAGAATTTTCAGTGGAGACTGTTAAGTTAAACTTCCACCTAGAGCAACAAGATTAGACTTCTTCACAACTGAACAATGGACTATGCCTTGAATTGTCAGTTTGGCGTGTAGAAGTTTCGCCTATTGTCAGCTGATACATGGCTGCCGAAGGCTAAACCCCACGGGTGGAGCTTATTAGTCATACTCCGTACCTTCTCATGAGCTTACTAGAGATTGCCCAATCTCATAGACTGTGGCCAGCAGTCGGGCTCACATAGGTGTGTGTGACGCCCCCGATTTGACCATACACTAATCATACACGCAAATGTGTACGATCAAGATCAGGGACTCACGGGAAGATATCACAACACAACTCTAGAAATAAAATAAGTCATACAAGCATCATATTACAAGCCAGGGGCCTCGAAGGCTCGAATACAAGAGCTCGATCTTAGACGAGTCAGCGGAAACAACAATATCTAAGTACAGACATAAGTTAAACAAGTTTGCCTTAAGAAGGCTAGCACAAAAGTAGCAACGATCGAAAAGGCGAGGCCTCTTGCCTGGGACCTCCTAACCACTCCTCAAAGCCGAACTCCACGTAGAATCATCCTCGGGGTCCTCTGGCTTCTGGACTCCATCGTCTGCTCACAACAATCGGGTATAGAAAGGGGAAAAAGGGGGAGCAGGGCAACCGTGAGTACTCATCCAAAGTACTCGCAAGCAAGGAGCTACACTACATATGTATGCATTGGTATCAAATGGAATAAGGGTATCATATGTGGACTGAACTGCAGAATGCCGGAATAAGAGGGGGATAGCTAATCCTTTCGAAGACTACGCTTCAGGTAACCTCCATCTTGCAGCAGGAGAAGAGAGTAGATGGTAAGTTCACCAAGTAGTATCGTGTAGCAATATCCTAACCGGTGATCCTCCCCTCGTCGCCCTATCAGAGAGTGATCACCGGTTGTATCTGGCACTTTGAAGGGTGTGTTTTATTAAGTATCCGGTTCTAGTTGTCATAAGGTCAAGGTACAACTCCAAGTCGTCCTGTTAACGAAGATCACGGCTATTCGAATAGATTAACTTCCCTGCAGTGGTGCACGACATAACCCAACACGCTCGATCCCATTTGGACGGACACACTTTCCTGGGTCATGCCCGGCCTCGGAAGATCAACATGCCGCAGCCCTACCTAGGCACAACAGAGAGGTCAGCACGCCGGTCTAAATCCTATGGCGCAGGGGTCTGGGCCCATCGCCCATTGCACACCTGCACGTTGCGTATGCGGCCGGTGAGCAGACCTAGCCTCCCTTATACAAGAGCAGGCGTTACAGTCCAACCCGGCGCGCGCCGCTCAGTTGCTGACATCACGAAGGCTTCGGCTGATACCACGACGTCGAGTGCCCATAATTGTCCCCGCGTAGATGGTTAGTGCGTATAGTCCAGCAGCCAAACTCAGATCAAATACCAAGATCTCGTTAAGCGTGTTATTTTTAAATAACCACGAACGCCGACCAGGGCCAGGCCCACCTCTCTCCTAGGTGGTCTCAACCTGCCCCGTCGCTTCGCCACAAAGATCCACACAGAGGGTCGTCGGGAAAGTATGTCCTTCCAGCCCCCAATTCGTGAATCAACCGCGGGTACTCCTCGAGCCAAGCCGACTTTAGTCATCACATGTATCATGTATATAGTATATAGTATATACTCGTGATCACCTCCCGAGTGATCACGGCCCGATAGTATAGCATGGCAGACGGACAAGAATGTAGGGCCACTGATGATAAACTAGCATCCTATACTAAGCATTAGGATTGCAGGTAAAGGTAACAACAGTAGTAGCAAGGACAGGCTATGCATCATGATAGGATTAACGGAAAGCAGTAGCATGCTACACTACTCTAATGCAAGCAGTATAGAGAAGAATAGGCGATATCTGGTGATCAAGGGGGGGGGCTTGCCTGGTTGCTCCGGCAAGAAGGAGGGGTCACCTTCGATGTAGTCGAACACACGGACATCGGCAGCGGTCTCGGAGTCTACCGGAAAGGAGTAGCGGAGGGGGAACACAATAAATAACAGAGCAATCAAATGTAACACAAAGCAAGATGCGGCAATACGTTGTGCAAGGAGTTACCTAACACAGTACTAGGTGATACCGATGAAGGGGGGAAACATCCGAGAAAATATCCCTGGTGTTTCGCGTTTTTGGACAAATGAATCGGAGGGGAAAGTTGCGTGGTCGCTATGCTAGGGATGTGTGGCAGAGGAACGGGCTGCGTACCCGAATTCGTCTCGTCGTTCTGAGCAACTTTCGTGTACAAAGTTTTTTCATCCGAGTTACGGTTTATTTTATATGATTTTCTAAAGTTTTAATCATTTTATGAATTTATTTATCTATTTAATTCTAACATTATCCAGAATAGTGTCTGCTAATGTCATCATGATGCAATGCTGAGGTCATTAGTCAACAGTGCGGTTGACTAGGTAAAATCTGACCTATGGGTCCAGGTCAATGCACATTCAGCAGTTTGACCGTTGACTGGTCAAAAGTGAACAGGGTGGGGGCCACATGTCATAGTCTAGGGTTAAGTTCAAGAGTTTAGTTTAACTAGGGGGGTCCACTCTCATATGTTG